GTGTGTGTGTGTGTGTGTGTGTGTGTGTGTGTGTGTGTGTGTGTGTGTGTGTGTGTGTCACACACACACACAGAGAGAGAGAGAGGTGAATCCTGCAGCTGGCTTCACATCCCGTTTTCAAGAGATTCTGGTAACAACCTTCTAATTAATGAAGAAATATCCAAAAATAGAATTGGCACCATCCCAGTTTAAAATGAGACTGACTTTTGTTTCGTTTTGTTTTGTTTCTGACTTCCTGCACAATTAACTCGGAGCCTCAGCTATTTCAGGCCATGGAACAAAAATTCTGGAAATGTCGAAAAAGTTTAGCTCCGGAGAATGCCGTTTTTCTCCAGGGTTTCGTAGGACTGTGAGAGACTGGAAAGAATTTGATTTCATTTCTTTTTTGATAAGGATTTTCTGAAATTCCATATTTTCCCGTATCTCAGACTCAACCCTGTGGCTTCCTTGGGGAGTCTTTCCATTTAATATTAGGTCTTCCTCTTTTCCTGCCACCTTCCATCTTTCCCAGTGTTGTTGTTTTTCCCGAGAATCCTACCTAAAGTAGGACAGGCTCAGTTACATGATTTTTGCCTCCAGAGGAAAAAAAAATAGAGGGGTGGGGGGAAGAACAATCCAAATGTGACAGATTTTTTAATCCAGTCCCAGTGATTTACATGCTTGACTCTTAAAAATCTGGTTTTGAATTCCTTTAAATTCAGCTATACTCATGATAAATTCAGGTGACCACCTTTCCCACTTTTTTAAAATAAAAAAAATCATTACCATATTTATGACAGACTGGAGGCAGACTGCTCTGTCTCCTCTTGAGATGACTACATGTTTTATTTCTGTTTGCTGTTCAACAATTTGCTGAAATGCACCAAGCGGATATGCATGAAAGAACAGGAGCTGCCAGGCCTCTGAGTGGGGCAGAAAGTGAAACTGACAGACCTCGACAGCCCTGCTCAGCTCTTGCAAACTCAAGCCTGTGGCTTCCTTCAGTGAGTCAGTGCATCTCGCATTGGGTCTTCCTCTTTTCCTGCTGCCTCCGACCTTTCCTACCATTATTGTCTTTTCTGGAGAATCTTGCCTTTCCAAAGTAGGACAACCTCAGTTTCATCCTTTCTGCCTCCAAAGAGAGTTCAGGGTTGGTTTCATCTAGGACCCACTTGCTCATCTTCTTGGCAGCCCAGGGTATCCACAAAACTCTCCTCCAGCACGACATTTCAAACAAATCAACTTTTTCTTGGTCAGCTTTCTTGACTGTCCAGCTTTCACACTCATACAAGGTGATTGTAAATATAAGAGGGTGGATGATCTTGGTCTCCAGTGACTCACCTTTACATTTGATGATCTTTTCTAGTTCCTTCCTTGCTGCCCTTCCGAGTCTTGGTCTTCTTCTGATTTCTTATTTACAGTCTCCCTTTGGATCGATGATGGAACCAAAAACTCTATGTCTCCTAATTTGTGCAGAAAAATGGGCACTTTCTTCTTTCACTTTCCCCAAAAGTCATTTCAGCCCATTGTTGCTTTCTACCAGTAAGATAATGTCATCCGCGTATCTTAAATTATTGATACATCTTATTTTCACTCCGCCTTTGTATTAACAAGTCTTTTCTGTGGAACCTGGAAAAGCTACTTTGGGGATAATAACTTTGGTTAATAACTCCATATTTGATCTTCCATTTTTCTTGCTGCCTTTCACCTTTCCGAGCATTAGAGTCTTTTCCAGAGAATCCTCCCTTTTCATGATGTGCCCAAAGTCTACTGTTGTGGATGGATGGATGGATGGATGGATGGATGGATGGATGGATGGATGGATGGATGG